GACAATTGCAGTAGCAGTGGACCTTGCCAGAGAAGCTGTGCAGAGTGTTACAGCTGCAGGCTTCTCTGAGACCACCAACGACGACATCCTGGAGGTGATAAGGGATCCTGATGTGACTACCGACGAGATGGTAGATGATGATGACGTCAGTGAAGAGGCAGGTGGTGCGTCATCCCAAGAAGAACGCCGCTTATCCCATAGTAATGTAAGGGGTGCCATCGAGTGTATCGAGAAAGTCAAGCTCCTCCTTTCCGACGACCCTAACGCAAACAGGTATGAAAGCTTCACTACCCAGCTGTTGCAGACTATGGAGCCCTACATCAAGGTTTATCACGACAACATAATCACCAGCCGACAGCAAAGCATAACAGAGTTCTTCGCCCGCAACCCACCACAGCCAGCCCAAGCCAGTGATAGTGACAGAGGCAGAGACAGTGATGATGACTTTGAGGGATTTGTCAGGGAGGCACTAGTAACTGTGGATGACACCGATGAAGACTCACCTGAGGGCCAGTAGCCTGCCCTCTGCCTTGGAACCAGCCTCCATTCCCCTACGCCAACCTATCTCTTCTACTAACGTAAGTGTTAACCCCAACCTTGTTTTTTTCTAACGATAACCTTCAGTTTATTATTCTCTTATTGATTATTCCCTTCTATATTATGTGTGGGTGAATACCATCATAAAGTGAATACCATCATAAAGTTAAGATGTTATTTTTAGTAAAACGTACATATTGTGTCGGGAAAAAGTGGAGTTTGGGGGTCGGCCCGGTCTGTATTTCAATTAATCCCATATGTTATGTTGTTCACTTTACGCATTTCTCACTTTACGCGGGCCGCCGTGGGTTCAATTAACCGTGTAAAGTGAGGGTTCACTATATATATATATATATATATATATATATATATATATATATATATATATATATATACACACATATATATATATATATATATATATATATATATATATATATATATATATATATATATATATATATATAGGTCAGATTCATGTGGGTAATGTCACTGTTCACTGCCATGCAGGACAGAGGTTCGTACACAAAGAAAGAAAGAAATACATCATATTGATTAGCAGTATATATAGGTCAGTGGTTCACATACATTGGATGTCATATTCTAATTGAAGACAAATCAGTGTGGGCTAGCAAATTTGGGATAAACAGCAAGAATGTCCTCAAGCACCCCCGATTCAATGTAGTAATTACAAAGGTCAGCCATGGAAAAAATCAGAGACGGAGACGGAGTCAAAGAAACAACTGTATAACGACACAATTCCTACAATATGTAATTGTCCGATCACAGCTGTCGGATCCGGCTCTTGAAGGCACCTAACCTAACCTAACCTAACCTAGCCTAACGTCAGCGTTATATTTATATTTATTATGCATTAATAAAAAATAAACGGATAAATAAATAAATAAGACACAAATTTATAATACATCATACACATTTTTGGAAAAAATTGAATATTTTTTTTAAAGACACCAGACTAAACGTGACGTAATCGACACAAGTCAGAAACAAGGATTTATAAGGGGGGGGGGCGCAAAGAGTCACTCAACGAAAGAAATGCCATTTGGTGCTTACAATATTCATAGTCTTGGAATGACAATGATATTGCTAGATAATGGCTTGTAAAAGTATTAGACATATGCTACAGTACTAATTCACACCATCAGACGGATGGTTCGTAAGATTAATTACCATCACCTTCAATTGAACAACGTCATTATTAAATACAAACACAGACTGACACACACACACACACACACACACATACACACTCCACATGCGCACACGCACACACAGGGAAGTAAAACAGCAGTTTGTGTTGCAAGAAATCAGCGTCTTTAGAAAGAAGTTTTGTTTAGCATCGGTTAGATACAATTGGATTAATTACCATAAAGGGGTTAAACGTTTGAAGACAATATTAATATAAATTAATGATAAACAGGCAACCTCATAAACAGCCTGCACACAGCTGTGCCCGATGCATGATGTTCCTTAACATACCGATTTTTACTTATGTTTATTTATCTAAACATAAATTCATATAGGTTGGCTCATTGCTCTATCCATTTTAAAATCAAATTAACAGTATATACTAGCAGAAAGGCATAATATAATGCGAAACAACAAAGCCCAACCATTAATTAAGCAACGGGGAACTAAGTAACCAATCACCGATCACTTTTACATTCATTCATAATTTTTACTTCGTAGTATAGTAAACACACGGCCTTGAGTTGCCAGCAGTGTTCGAAGAATCTTGAACGTGACTGTACTTCATGACATTCAAGATACCCCACAGTAATGAGGTGATGATTTTGGTGGGGTCTATTCCTTGGACCTTCGATACAAAGAGAAGTTGAATTTCAATTGAATTGTTACAACCTGAGAGGCCAAGGTCGTAACAGATGTAAACAATGAGTTGTGCATTGTGAGTATACAATTATTACTACAAATAAAACATGAAAATAAAGCATTAATTCTTAGTGTTATTTTCTCCTCTCTATTCTGTTAGCTCTATGTTTTGTGTCAGTTATTCACTGGCAATGGAGGGGGGCAATTATCCAGGGGGGGCAGTTGTCAGGGGGTTTGTCCAGGGGGGGTAGTTGTCCTGATACCCACATTTATGCCTCTTGTCAGCGCCGGTCGACTCCTATAACCCACAAGCGAGAAAACCTCAGCATCTTTTTGAGTATGTAACTGCACAGTACATCTCACCACTAGCATGGGGTTGGATGCTCGGTAAGAAACCATTAAGTTTCTTGAGACTGGATGGTGGTCAGTCTTTTGACAACCTTCTCCGCTGTGACAGGGGGATGCAAGTTTCTCCCAGTTAATTGTGTTCCAGGGCACTCTATATGGTAGTGCTGCGGTGAGTTTTCTGCTTCTTTGTCGCAGCTCTTACATGTGAGTTCCTCTGCTGGTACTTGTATACCCATTTCCCATTTACATGGGTAGCCCATACTCAGTCGGTGAAGGATGCTCTCTTTCCATCTTGCCATATCCTTCATGAGTGGGTGGTCTCTCATAATTCGTGACCAGGTAGTAGGTAGTAGGCAGGTACTAAACAGGGAGGTACTACTGTCTGGGAAGATATTGGAAGCATAATGTATTGTGTAATGGTAGACCCTGCTGCCAGACGGCAACACGAAAATTGTGACCAAGTCTCAGGTTGCTAATCTGACTTTCTGCTTCATTTACAGTACACACAAATGCAGAGTCTCAATTGTTTCTCTTACTATTGACAACACAACATACATATAATGTTTCTCACTTTTGATTTTTTTCTTTATTTTTGTATTTCTTTGTGGTTCTTTGTTGTTGTTATTAATTATTATTATTATTATTATTATTATTATTATTATTATTATTATTATTATTATTATTATTATTATTATTATTATTATTATTATTATTATTATTATTATTATTAGTAGTAGTAGTAGTAGTAGTAGTAGTAGTACATTTTCGCCCCCCCCCCAGGCCCCGATGTGGGTTAGTGACCTATGCCCGGGTGGGCTAATCCTCGTAAAAAAAAAAAAAAAAACCACCTGGCCGTTCGTGATTTTGGTACTGATCTTTTTATTTTTTTTATTTTCCACTGGGCAGTTCGTGTTATTGTGGTCTTCTTTATCTGTTCCTTACTGGGTGGGATGTACAGTTGCCGAAGAATATTCTGCCCCACATCGCTTTGGCCAGTGGAGACATCCGGTAACTCTCTCTGAGTAGTGAACAGGGCACGTATCAAACTAGATGAAACCAGTTGTTAAAAAATATTTTGTTTGTTATCCATCACTATTTTAATCAATTAACATAAATATAACTATATGTTTGCCACAATATGAATGTTTGCCTTCATATAATATTAGAAAGGTCAATAAAAACAGCATAAATTGACTGAAAATATAACAGATAATTTTACAGCTCTGGCGGATATTAACACACCTCTGACAGGTGCCCCGTGACGGTTACCTACACCAATGACATTGGCCTGCTCTATAGTAAATGGGGAACAGATGCTGGAAGAAACCAGAATCAGTTACACATTATATTCAGAAAAATATGTTTGCCCAAGAACATATCAGTAATGCCAGTGGATGCAGCATGCTCCCATGCTAGCGTTTGCGCATAATGGGCAGGCAGCTGTATCATGCTTAGGCTGGCTGACGTGACATAATGTTGTTATCACTCCTAAAAAATATCAGTAAATCGATCCGTGACTTATGGTCGTTATCATTGATCCCACTGGGAAGTTATCTTTATGGAAGCCTAACATGCTCCCGTGACTGTTATCTGTGTTACCTGGCAGCCGTAGTAATCCACTACTGTACTTTATTTTTTAGGATTTCAGGATTGCTTGAGCCTCACGTTACATTAAACACATATGACACTAGTACTCTGAATCAGGAAATTGTGCCCTCTGTATGGCATGTGGATCCTGTAGGGAACCGAAGTGTTCAAAACACTTCATTCGATAGCACTGATTCTCACACCAAAAGTATATGAAGTGTAATCGCGGCTGCGGTCCCGTGGTTGCCTCAGTCTGTCCAGCGCCGAGCCTTGAAAATGGATCGTCGTGAGGTCAAGCTTGTCCTACGAGGAAGAAGCGTTGGTATGAGAGACGGTGGCTTTACCAACACGGATATAGCAAAAGAGCTTGGAATTGACCGGAAAACTGTTTATCGGTGGCTGAAAGGGTGGGAGGAAGAGGAAAATCTGGTAGATCGGCAATATATCAGGCGTCCCTAGAAAGACAACTCCAGCTCAAGATCAAATGATACGTCAAGCTGCAGATCAAAACCCATTTACGAATGCAGTTGTCATACAACAAGACATTCAACTTAATGTGACACCAAGGACTGTACGAAAGAGGCTCGATGAAGCTGGAATATATCACCGAACACCAGCAACAAAGGAACAGCTAACAGAGAGACACCGTCAAAATCAGCTAAGATTTGCCCCAGAGCATGAGAATGAAGGACTTGACTTTTGAGGGCGTGCCATCTAGTCCTAAGAAAAAACCTTCTACTCTAGCTCCCATGGTAAACTACACTGTTGGAGGAAAGACAACACAAGGTGCTGAAGCTTTTAATGTTAAAATTACTTTTCACTGTCCCTAAACTTACTCTTAAATAATAGAGTTAATACATATGTGTATATAACTTTAATGAATTATTACACACTCCACATATGAATAATTATAATGCACGTTATTTCCAAATCAGGTAAGCCCGAGAAACTATCTTCGAGGTGGCGAAAAGCGGTGACGTAACCACCAACAAGTGGGGCTGGTTATACCTCTACGGTGTTGGAGAGCTGATAGAAATAGAAGGCAGGTTTACAGCAGAGAAGTATGAAGAGATCTTGGAGGAAGTAATGCTGCCATCTGTTAGAACATATTATGCTCTTCCCTATCTAGAGCGAGTCCTCATCATGCACGACAACTGTCCAATACACACAGCCAGGGTAGTAACTCCCTGATTTCAAGATCAAAGAAATATGGATCTTCTCGTCTGGCCAAGTAAATATTGCGATCTGAACCCAATTGAAAATGTTTTGTGAACATCGTCAATGTGTGGGAGCCAGAGCAAGAGCGTACCTCTCGCCATATGCAAAGAGAATGGGAGGTGTTCTGAAGGAAACTTGAACTTATTTACAGGCATGTGGCATCAGTTCCCGAACGACTGCAAGAGGTAATTGCCAGCAATGGAGGATGGACGGGTCAATATTATGGTTACTTTGGTAAATTTGGTTGTATTTGTTATATATGGCTGTATTTTGGACGGGTTAGGTGAGCCAAATAGGTGGGTTGTATTAAAATTGTTGTATAAATTCATTTATGCATGGTATAATTGGTTTTTGTTGGACGGGTTAAATATAAGAGACAAGTATTTGAATTTTTTATTATAACCTCCATTTATTTAGTCCCTTGAAATAATAATTAACATCAAAGCACAAATCGTATATATTAACACCACTTGGGTAAATAAACAACCTAAGAGTCGTTATCAAATTCTCCACAAACTTATCATACCATATAATATTATAAACAACAGCAATAATGACTTTTTATAATAAAAAAAAATTTGAGATACCTCATGAATAAGATTTTTAGGAATCAGAGGCGAAATTAAGGCATTCATTAAATAAATATTTTGACAACTGGTTTCATCCAAACGCTGCCCACACTAGAGTTCGAGACTGGTACATTCTTATGGATTTGAAACGTGCCCTGTTTACAACTGAGAGAGAGAGTTCAATTCAATTTCAATTTCAATTGTATATTCCTTGATAGAGGAAGCGGGATCCTAGTGCTGTCACTCGGTACCCCTGTACAATAACACCAGAAGTATCTGGCAAGTGTGAAAAGTATATACAGTGTAAATATTATAAAGGGGCTTACTAAAGCCTAAGGAAGGAAGGATATTCCTTTAACACATAATCAATATTATTTACAAAATATCTGGCCAGTATTGGGAGGATCATCGTGTCTCCGTCAGGGGGTCGTGGAGTGGTGGTCCAGCAGGCGTCACGGAAGCGTTGTGTGTGGGGACATCTTAGGAGGTAGTGAATAAGGGTGCGGCTGTCGGGTCTTCTGCATAACGCACAAGAGCGTTGCTCAGGGGATGCGGGGATACCAATCTCCCAAGCAAAGTCATACCCAATGATGATACGGGCAGCAATCACGTCCCCCTTCCGCGACCCTTTCCCGTAGACGTACGAGAGGTCAGGAAGTTTACGGAGGACATCGTACCATGTGGGCGGGGAGTCCAGGGGGATGGCTGCTTCCCGAGCTTCTCTCTGTTTGCGGCGGATTTGGGTCCTAATCTGTAAGAGTGTTCGAGGAACAACGTAGTCAGGTGTGGCCTTGTTGCAGCCAGTCTTGGCAAGGTCATCTGCTGCCTCATTCCCCAAGATACCGACATGACTAGGTATCCATAGGAATGTCACAGGACGGCCTGCATCCTGAAGTGTGGATGTTAACCCTCGTATTCGGAGGATGAGGTCCTTATTTTCCCCTGATCCAAATGCGATCCCGTCGAGAGCAGACCTGGAATCGCAGCAGACAAGCAAGGGGCAGAAACCATCTGCTTCTTCCTCAGCGAGAAGGGCAGCAAGGAGGGCTATTAGTTCAGCCTGAGTGGAGGATACCCCGTCAGAAACTCTGAGAGACAGTTTGATAGGCTCAGGGGCATGAGGACGGGAGATGTAGACACCAGCCCCGGCCCTACCTGTAGCGGGGTCAACAGAACCATCAGTGTAGAGGACGACCCTACCTGGGGACCAGTGAGCGATCCTGGAGAGGTGGTATTTGCAGAGAATAACAGGGTTCACCTGGGATTTCGGGAGCGGTCCACCGAGGGCAATCACTTCAGGTTGAAAATCCAGCCAGGGAGAAGGAGACGAACCAACAGCAGGGGTGACAACAATATCAGGCAGGAGGTCGTGTTCCTGAAGGGCTCGGATGAGTGACCCTCGCCACTGTCTTCTAGATGGAGGTCGGTCTCGGACAGCAGTAGTCAAGTTGGTTTGGACATAGTTGCCCCGAGGATCCCGTAGAATGGAAACGGCAGTTTTTAGGTAAAACTCCTGGACACGATCCTGTAAGGGGGAAAGACCAAGTTCGGTATATAGAGAAGTAGAGCGTGTCCACTGAGGAGCCCCAAGGATGATACGAGCAGCTTTCCTCTGGATAACTTCGAGACGGTTGACAGCAGTCCGACTAATGTTGACGAGGGCAGGGGCGGCGTAGTCGACACAGGAACGGACAAAGGACTTGTACATGGTGAGAAGTACAGGGATGGTGGCACCAAGGGAACCCCTGCACATGGTAGAGAGGGGAGCGAGACGCCGAAAGCATATGTCTCGAAGATAGCGGACTTCAGGGATCTGACAACGTGTGCGAGTTACATACACACCCAGGTATTTTGTCTCATTAACCCAGTCCAAGGGCGTTCCTGATAAGAGAAGGGGTGGAGGTACAACACGACCGTGCCACATGGCTTTTGTTTTCGCAGTTGAAAGAAGGAAACCAAGTGAATCACACTCTCTGGAGACCAGATCAAGGGCTTCCTGCATGCTGAGGTAGTCAGGGGCTTGGAGGAGGACATCGTCGGCATATCCTGAGTGGACAACTTCTGTCGGCCACGGGAGTGATGCAATGGAGTGCATGAGAGTGTTAAACAAGGTGGGACTCAGGACTCCACCTTGAGGGGTGCCGAGGTTCATTTCTTGAACAGGAGACATAGAGCCTTCAACGCGAACCCGGGCCTGACGTCCAGTGAGGTAAGAGGCGATCCATTGTAGAAGTCTCCCTTTAACCCCTAACCGCGCAAGTTCAGCTAAAATGAGGGCAGGCTGAGCCGTATCAAAGGCTCCCTTGATATCAAGGAAGACGGAGATGCGGGCAGTCTGATTGCAATAAAAGGAAGCAATGGAGTGTGCTGTGCTGCGATGTTGAATGAAACCATTGAGGGAGTTGTGGAAGCCGCCTATGGTGTGAAGAAGGCGACGATGGAGTATCCTCTCCATCATCTTGCAAACACAGGAGGTAAGACTAATGGGTCGATATTTCCCAGGATCTCCCGGCTTAGGGATGGGGATAATAGTGGCATTTTTCCAGTTGGACGGGAGAACCCCATGTTCATAAGACATATTGTAGAGAGCAAGCAAGGGGCCGTTAGGAATATTAGTACAGGCGTTGAGGACGGAGTAGGTTATCTGATCATCCCCAGGAGAGGTGTCTTTTCTAGAGCGACGAGCACTGTCAAGCTCGAACTGTGTGATGGGATGATCAGTGGGGGCAGGGGAGGTAAGAGCAGCACGAACAACAGGCTCAGACGCATCGATGCGAGCCTGCACTGCCTCCTGCATTGGATCTGGAAGTGCCTCAGGGGAGGAAGCTCGTACCCAGTCCTCCATTAAAGAGCAGGCAAGGGAGGCGGGGTCAGGGTGGGGAGGAGGCCTCCGTCGAGTACCCCGTATAGCATTAATCCGATTCCATACATAAGAGGGTGACGACTGGAACGATAGAGACCCCGTGAAGGATAGCCAGTCCGCCTCACGTATCCGACGGCGTTCCTGAGTTGCAAAGGAGCACCAATTTTTGAAGTCTTCCCAGTCCTCTGGAGACCGAGACCTCCGTATGGCAGAGTGGAGATCACGGGTTACCTGCCGGAGATGTCTCATGGCAGGGATACGATACCAGTAGTTGGTGGCACTTCTGGGGTGACGGGGAGGGCGTGGAGGGGTAGCGCGATTGACAGAGTCATACACGGCATCAACAAAATCAGCGCTGTAAGAGTCAAGGGACTGGGGGACATCATAGGAATCCGCCCAGGTAGAAAGGTATTGGGTACAGGAAGGAACAGCATCTTGTGTGAGACAAAGGCGAGGGGATCGATAAGGAGCTGATGTCGGGGTAGAGAAGGACAGCCTGAGATGGGTAGTAACGGCAAGATGGTCACTATACAGAGCAGGCTCGGTGCAGACGGTAGAATGAAAGGAGGTATGACCGTTCAATAGTAAGCCAACATTAAGGAAACTATGGGGGAGGCGAGTAGGATCGGCAGGACAAAGAAAGCGAACATCATCATCCCCATTAAGAAACTGTGAGAGATGTGATCCGTTAAGGGTACAGGAGTGGGATGATCTGGAGTAAGAGTGGGATGGCGGGCATTAAAGTCGCCTAGAACAATAGTGGGAATCCCATCATGGAGGTCGTGAAGTACCTGGGAGTCCAGAGAATCACTCTTGAAATGAACATTGACTACACGAAGGGTCCGGTCACCAAGAGTAAGGGAGACAGAAAGTAATTCAGACGGGGGTCCATGTGAGTCAGGTGAAGGGAGACGAACAGATGGAATGGTGTTACGCACAAGGGTGAGGAGGCCACGAGCTGCCCACGGTACCGAGGCAGGGTGTAAACAGTATAGCCAGAGAGGCGGAGTGGAGTAACATCGTCTGTGATGGTTTCCTGAAGTAGAGCAACATCTACTTGATGGGGGAGCACAAACTGGGCGAAGTCTGTCCGGCGAGGTCTAAGTCCCTGGATTTTCCATTGTAAGAAGAGGAGGGAACGGCCTCCAGTGTGAGATGAGTCGGAGGGGCTAGACAGGGCTCCAGAGGAGGTACCAAATTCTGTTGCGAAAAATGGAGAGGGAGGATTGGGAGAGCGAGGGATGGATCCTCCATCTCGGGAGGTGGAAGGAGGCGGGTCATCAGGGCTTGCAAAGTGCGCCCCTGTTGGGTCAGGGTGTCCAGAATGAGTTGTTGTTGCTTCTGCAATGTTGCAATTGTTTTCACAAACAAGTCGAGTTGGGCTGAGAGAAGGTTGATTTGCTTGGAGTGGCGATCCAGACGGAGAGTGTTGTTTCCATAGAACCAACTTGGTGTACCTGTACAGCAGCTGGAGGTGGCGGTGAGGATTGCCGAGGGCCCGACTGGGCATGTGGTGGTGGTAGCGACGGAGAGGGACGGTGAGGGTTCAGTTGAGTAAGAGGTGGTGGTGCTGGTGAGAGACAGCGGGGGTCCAGGTGGGCAGGAGATGGTGGTGACTGTGTGGCAGGGCCGGCAACGACCTTGTTCCAAGAACGGTAGACAGAGGGAGGGAGGGGAGAAAGGATGGGTGGTAGGGGTGATAGGGGGGATGGTAGAGGAGAGGAGATCAATGGGAAATCCTTGGTGGATGGAAGAGGCGGTGGTGGATAGGAGTGAGGTTTGGTTGATAGGGGCTTCGTCAGAGACGAGGGCGGTGGTACAAGGTAAGTTTTCCCCGGGCGAGTGCCAGGACGCTGTGGGCAATTGGCATTCCAGGCGTGGTGACTGCCATGGCAATTGACACACTGTGGAATAACTGGGATTTTGTTCTGAATTTTCGATTTGCATTCCACTGTTTCGTGAGGACCTGCACAGAAACCGCAGGCGACCATCCTCGTGCACTCCCAGGTGCGGTGTTTCCACGATTGGCAACGACCACAGATTTTCGGGGTTCCGATAAATCGGTCGAGAGGACAGTTGTGAATTGGTCCTACATTCACCTTCGGAGGGAGGGGGCCCACCCACCAGCCGATGAGTTCGTTGGATGGACGCTTGGAGACCGGGTTGATGCGGCGTTCCATGTCCAGTAGTTGTGGGAGAAGAGGGCGAAGATCGTCGATAGGGATCTCCCAGGGTACGTGGCGAACCATTACCTTGGTACGACGAGTTTCTGGGGTGATGATGGTGAACTTCAGCATCACCTCCCCCTGGGGAGCAGGAAAGCCCACCTGAGTGAGCAGGCGTACCGTCTAGTCCATTTGTGTGGTGACTATCACGGCTGTGGGACCTCGGCGGAGGCGAAGTGTTGAGTCCTGAAGTGGAGAGTAGTGATGGAAGAACCAGGTCGTCCGTGTGCTCAGAGGCAAGTCCCGAGGAAAGGCGAGACGACGAAGGCGCGTCCAGGCAGGGAGACAAAGGGAATCCCCTATGTCCATCGTCGGCGGAGGGTCGGTCATTGAGCCACATGTAAGCTAACTTGGGGGCCCCGATGATAGGAGGCCACCCTCTACAGCCCCAGACGGGGTGCGAGGGGGAGCCGTAGCCCTTGCTGGAGACCCTGACTTCTGAGGTTTCTGCTTCTTTGACTTGTCTTCAAGAAGAAAGACGTCAGCATCACTGTCACCCACTACCGCCGTTTCCAACGAACGGGAGCGTTTAACGGCGTTTAACGTTGGCAACATTGCAGTCAGGTGGAGTGGTAATGACGTCACTGCTACGTCACAATATCACATTGCGCATGCGCAAACTTGAAAAACTTTGCCCAGAGGGATCGGGTGGTAGGACCAGATGTTTTATCTCCCAAAAACTACAAAGTCCGAAAGTAAAAACAAAAATAGATGCCACTGTGCTGATAACTAGGTCTTACTATAGTTGTCTGCACTTGCTGGGATTAGTAGACTCGCTGAATTCGTCAGAAATACGACTTTTAAGGAGCAGTCTCTTACGGCCATATTATTAAACATCTACCCCTTCCGACGAAGAATTTTTTCGAAGGTATTGTTCCTTCAAGCGGCATTTTTAAATGCTCGAACCTCTTCCACTTCGTGCGGGATGATTTTTTTAGGTCTGGTAATACTGTCCTCTTCGCTGATGCATTATGGTCGTCTTTTCGCTGATGCATTATGGGTCCTGTGTGTGTTTGTTTACCTTCGTTGGCGCCAAATTTAGTATTGTAGCAGCTCTCGTCATGGATATTTTTAAGTCCAAAGTCTCCCGGGATTTCTTAGTTTATTTGATTGGGGAGGAGAAAATTTTGCAAAATATAAGTACTGTGGGAAGCTTGTTACATTAAAGAAACAAGCATGGTTACGAATTGCAACATGTTTAAATGCTGAGGGATATGGACCTCGGCGGTCAGAAGAACAGTTGAAGAAGATTTGGGAACGCATTAAAATAAAGTAAGTAAAAAAAACTATATATATATATATATATATATATATATATATATATATATATATATATATATATATATATATATATATATATATATATATATATATATATATATATATATATATATATATATATACACACAGACATACAGTCATGCGCTGGTTAACGTCCGACCGAACAACGTCCGATTGCATATACGTCCGTGGCCCCCCCCCCAAAATCTGTGACGCCCTGACGGAGACACAATGATCCTCCCCATACTGGTCAGATATTATGTGTTAAAGGAATATGCTTCCTATCTTAGGCTATTTTTAAACATTTGCCTCCAAGTGTAATGTTAACCTACATCTATTGAGGATAAAATCTTTCACCTACAAATTGACAATAACACATTTGCTGTAATCAGACATATCTAGTTGCCTCAACAATTGCAACCCCAGTTGCAATTGGGGTTGCAATTTCAAATTCTGTTGCATTACTAAGGATTAGCGAAGTTTCTGGTGCACTCTTAAGATTAAGAGAGAAAACGGAGGACTCGGGCGTCCTGATGTGAGAGAAAACGGACTCGTATGATGGGGGACCAAATAAAAAAAGCATAGCTACATGTTTTGTGGACTACAGTATTAAGCGTACCCTTTTCATCACTTTGTAATAAACCTAGCCATGCCTGTGTGTGTTTATGATATTTACCATAACATTATATATATATTTAGTGGGTCTAAATGGTCATAAAATGGGAAACTTGGGGTTGGGTCTTGGGTGCCTGGAACCAATTAGAATAAATCCCATAGGTTCTGTACTTTCGTTATCGGCGGGGTCCCAAGTAGGCGCTATAACCAAGGGATGACTGTACTGTACTGTATATACTTGTGACACTGGCCAGTTGCTTCTGGTGTTATGGTACAGGGGTACCAAGTGACAGCACTAGGACCCACTTCCTCTATCAAGGAATAAACAATTAAAATTTAAATTGAAAAATACAAAAAAACATTCAAATAATGGGACATAGCGAACCTAAATGGCCCTAGAGCAGGCACAGTCACGTATGCATCACGTATTCTTATAGATTGTGCTGCCAGGCGTACGTTATCTAGTGAATTTAGTCAATATTGTACAGTAACAATGGACCTAAGTGCAAACCTGTATTGTACATGTACTAAATGATTACGGTACTAAAATTGTTATGTCTATTGCAAATATAGCTTGTTTATACAGGTATTCAAATAAATTACTATCTTACAAGAATCCCTCCAATGTAAGTTATATTCACCCAGGTCGTTTGGGTGGCAAATTATGAGAAGAGCTTAGTCACTCTTAAGTAATGATAAATAAACACGCAGGCCTTCAGCACCAACTGTCAAATCTTATCTCAAATAAATAAATAAACAAACGCCAGACATTCTGTCACCTCACCTCCCGCCCCCTCTTCCCACCCTGGTGATTTCTTTATGTTTATTTTATATAATATCTCAGACTAAAGTTAGGATAATATAATTTGCATTGCTGAAATCCTTGCAAGACAGAGATTAATTTGAATATAAGCGTCATATATTTTGCTCAAGATATAAAAAATGTAGTACATTAGTGTACAATACTGTAGTACATTTTATAAAAAGTTTTCAACTGTATTTTTGGGTAGATTTACCTAAATTTCTTCATTTATTTTCATCCATTTACATGCACACACCGTACTAAAAGAAACGTAATAGAAATAAATGACCTTAGTGCAAAGCTGGAGTGCACATGTACTAATTTGATTACGGTACTAAAATTGTTTTGTCTAGTGCAAATTATAGCATGTTTATATTCAAATTAATCAGTATGTTACAAGAATCCCAGCAATGTTAATTATATTCACCCAGGTCATTTCACTGGCTTTTTATAAGAGAGAAGCTTAGTCACTTAAGAACTGATAAATATACACGCGTTAGACCTGGGCCTGTGCCAACTGTCAAACGTACTACCTTCCCTCCCCCCACGCCCCCTCGCTCGCTCTCTCCCTCCCTCCCTCTCCCCCATGTGCCCAGAGTTGCTGGAATCCTTGTAAAACAGTGAATAATTTTAATACAAACGTCATGTATTTTGCACAAGAGATAAAAATTAATCACCTGTATCACATTACAGTAGTGATTTAAGAGTAAAAGTGTATATGTACGTATATAGTATTCCACATACACGTAAGTATAAATACAAAGTTTATGTGATGATCGGACAACGTCCATTTCGGTTAACATCACGTTTCCAAGAACGTATCTAGGACGTTAACCGGCGCATGACTATATATTAATTTTTTACATTAATTTTACTACACCTACAACCAGGGTCTTATTTTCTTCAGTTTCTTATGTAGAACCATCGTCACTGGTGTAAACACTAACGAAAACAGTGGCGTCCCATCTCCTCTTGTGTGACCATACTATTATTATTGATTTATATTGTATAAGGTGCATTCATAAACATCATTTAAATAATTTAGTTTGCATTTTTTATTAATTTTATTGTTTTGGGAAAAAGAGGATAAATAGAAATGAAAAGGTCAGACTATGGAACGCTTCTCATTGTTATTGCTTTATTTTAATGGTAATTAATGATTCACGATATGATGATTCAACTTACTCTGCAATATTGGAAGAAACTTTACCGTCGTTATTCGAGACTTTACTGTATTAAAAAACATACGGAATGTTATCACTGGTGTAAAGTAATGGCCCACATGGTAAGTCAAAATTCTGAAGCAAACTCAACTCCTTGTACTTTACCTTCTTTTCCAGCATTCATTAACCTTATTACCTACCTTGCTTAAGTTATTTAACAATTGTGCTGCTTCAAACAACATTTGTATACAATTTAGATGAAAAAATTCAACTAAAATCAGTAAATAAACGACAAATGAAAGTTTTTACACAATCTCCACTAACATACACTCCCTGCTTCAGCATAGCAGCACCGACCATGAAGAACGCTACTTCCGCAGACTACCTAGCAACGCTCCCCCCTCACACTCACACACTCAATCTCTGCACACTCCTCCCGCTCCCACACTGAGCAAGCTAACTCATTTGCAAGGAAATGTATTTTCTCTTTATTTGTTTGCCCTTATGACAATTATTTCTTATACTTTTTTTCACAATATGTATGTAGAATGGTGTGTGCATGTAACTGAGAAAAGATAAATAAAGAAAGTTATGTACAGCATGTACTGACAGTTCGCAGATTTTTTAATTTGCAGTCCAAAGTTATTCGCGGATGACACCCTGGATGCGGGGAGTTCTAAAGTTGCCGGCATTATTGCTGCCAGGACAGGGAGCGAAGGAGTTTTGTGGCATCCCGCAAGGTGTTTCTCTTCTCCCAGGAGGCTGGCCCACGTGCACTCCCTCTGCCTCAGTCTGGGATAAACCTTCATCCAGCTGCGAGAAAGCGCCCAAACAAGTGAAGAGAGAAAAGCAGGTAATGGCCCTCTTGAAGAAGATACAACTGCTGGACAAACTTAGGAGTGACCAAAGCTTAGCCATGTGTGGCTGGGAGTATGATTTCAGTGAATCAACTGTCCTAAGTGCCCTCTTTTCTGCCAAGGTAGCCACTAATGTGAGCACTTGAACCGCTGCCACATACCTCTCAGCCAGAATCTTATCTGTGACAAAACCAAGGTCCTGTATGACCAATTCCATACTGAGGAAGGTGGTGAAGGGGAAGTGAGTGGTGAAGGTGGTGCTAGTGCTGGTGGTTCTGGTGATACTACAAAGAAAGAATTTAATACCAGTAAGGGTTGGTTTGAGAACTTCAAGAAGCGCTACAACCTGCACAACTTGAGGATCACTGGTAAGTCAACCTTGGCAGACGGTGTAGCAGCTAGGGAGTATCCTGCGACCTTTGCTGAGATTATCCGGGAGAAGGGCTACAAGCCGGAGCATGTTTTTAATGCTGATGAAACTGGCTTGTGGTGGAAGAAGATGCCAGCCACAACTTTCATTTCCAAGGGCTTCAAGGTGGCCAAAGAACGTGTCTCTCTCCTGCTTTGTGGCAATGCTGCAGGGCACATGATCAAGCCCATGTTGCTATACCATGCCAAGCTTCCATATGCACTCAAGAACAAAGACATGCACCTCCCACTTTTCTACCGCCACAACAAGAAAGCTTGGATGATGGCATTGTTATTCACCGAACGGTTTCACAACTGTTTTGTGAGGGAGGTCAAGGATCAACTGCAAGAGAAAGGCTTTAAGTTTAAGGTCCTTCTCATGATTGACAACTGCTCTGGCCACCCCAAGGCCCTCAAGGTTGCAAACAAAAATGTCGAGGTGATCTTTCTGCCCCAAAACACAAAATCATTGCTCCAACCACTACACCAGGGAGTTATCACTGTCTTCAAGGCCAAGTACATGACCCACACCTTCAGCAGGATACAGCAAGCCTTGGACGAAGATACACGGGATGGTGCCGCATCAGTGCGGGAAATGTGGAATAAGTTCTCCTTTGCAGACTGCATCTCCTTCATGACAGCCCTCTGTGTTAACTCCTGCTGGAGGGCCTTGTGGCCAGAGGTGGTGTATGACTTTGGTGGCTTCCACACAGTCAACGAGGATGTGCAGCACATCGTCCAGCTTGCCCGTTAAGTGGGAGGTGTGGGGTGTGTTTCAAGTTAGCTAGTTAAACTTAATGTTGGGTCCACTCATAGAGGTCAACTCAAAGCAAAGTAAGGTAATTTAAGAAAGATTCCAGGGGAAAAGGGTGGCCATTATACAAAGGAGTTTTTAATATTAATAACAATAATAACTAATTATATAGACAATAAATCCTAACTGCCAACCCTACACCAGTGCCCTAGCTAAACATATAATTATCCTAACTTAATACAAACTAAAATATGGGGACAAGAGCAAAGAGGAGGCAGAGAAATAACCTAAACCATTTACTTCTCTGCGGTGAATGTTATGATACGACTGATGATTAAGGCGGTCGCTTGAAGCGCAAGAACCCGGGTAAGGTAAAGGTCCTTAGGGCGAGCCACAGAGGATGAGAGTGAACTGAGGTTTAGGGGGAGATACAGGCCTCTCGTCACCTTGGTGGTTCACGGGAGAGGATAGGGTGATGTGGTAGTGTTGTTATTGAGGCTTCTGACTCTTGCTCAGATGTCATGATGCGGCAAGGTGGTGTTGGTTAATTTGCCGACCCCCAGATGGCGTTGACCCAGGTGGCAAGTTGGTGTTGGTTAATTTGCCGACCCCCAGATGGCGTTGACCCAGGCGGAGGGATGCGACAGGTTCGACAACCTTCAGGAGGAAGAGGCGCAAGAGGAGCTCCTGGGTCATACTGGGGAAGAGCGGACCGAGCTTGTTGAAAAGCAGCATTGTGAGGATGGGAAGGAAGAAGAAAGTGAAGTGGAGGAGGTGCCCACCTTAACAATAACGAACCTCAAGAGAGGGATGGAGAAGCTCCTGGCTCCTTATAAGGAAATACTAAAGGAACTCGAGCACTCTGTTGCCCAGCTTCCAATCTCCATGTTCTGCTTGCCCTCATCCACTCCAAGTCCTACACCTTCTACACCTGCAAGAATGCCTTTGCCTCCTGTTCGTGCACCTCCTCTTCCTCCTGACTCTGATTCCGGCATGGACAGCACTCCTCCTGCCGCTCACAGCTCTGACCTCCCTCTGCTCTCCTGAGCCTCTTCTTCCAAAGCAGATGAGGAGAATTTGTAACTCCCCTGCCTTCATCATCATGATATTCATCAGTGGCAGGGAGAGGAAAATGGGCTCTACACAAACAGCCAGCATGGAATGGTGAGTGCTAATGTATTTTTTTATATCAATTGTTAATTTTTGTCTGTGGGAACATTAATTCATTAACTTTAGTAATGATACAATGTTTTTTATTATGTTATACAGGTTGTACCTCTCTAGTCCGGCATTCTGTGGTCCGGAAACTCCCGTGGTCCGGAATGATTTTAGTTTGTCCAATAGGTAGATAGGCAGCTTTTTTTTTT